GTAATGGCATATGTGTTGCCAGTGATTTTCAACAAATATTATTTTTTTTCTATTTTTGTGGTCATTGATAAGCATTACGTTTTTGGCTCCCTGATATGTACACATTTCTTTATCCTGTGGAAAGAAAAGCTCACAGGATTAGATAATACACGTGAAAGCAGTTTGCAAACTTTAAAGTGTTATGCAAATGTTAATTGCCAGGTGTCTTCGAATGATACCTCCAACTTCCTGATAATCCAGTGTCTTTCCATGAATCACAACATTCTTGTTCATTCCTTCAATCACCTTCCCACAAACAAGGTTTGTCTCATTAAAACCCTTGTATAAATTTTGCTTAGTAAAAGCAAGCTGAGCATGGTGACTCACGCCTATAATCCCAGCAGTTTGGGAGGCTGAGGTGGGCAGATCCCTTGAGTCCAGGAGTTTAAGGCCAGACTGGACAATATGGCAAAACCCATCTCTACAAAAAATACAAACATTTTTCATACTTTTGTATTTTTGCTGGTGCATGCCTGTAGTCCTGGATACTTGGGAGGCTGATTCTGAGGCGGGAGAATCATTTAAGTCCAGGTGATGGAGATTGCAGTAAGCCAGTATTGCGCCACCACGCTCCAGCGTGGGCAACAGATAGAGTAAGATTCTGCCTCTAATAATAATATAATAATAATAAATGAAAACGAAATAAAAAGACAAACTAACAAACTTTCAAAATAATATCCTCCTTCAAGTCATCATATCTTAAACTAGCATGTTGTACATACAAAATAGCCAATTAATGGACTTGGAAATAACCGCCCTTTGTTTTACTCTGACAATGTGCATCTACTAGATTTGTTCAGTTTTCACACATTAATGCCTTTGAGGAATGAAGGCTAAGAACAGTACATTCCAATATGTTTCAAAGATGTGCTGGGAAACAAGACTGTAGACACCTAAAGCCTCAGTCCAAGGCTGTTGTCTGCTTATCTTCTAAGCAAAATGTATGGCAGAGAGAAGGTATTTAAATCTCATTTGTATGGATGTGTGAAACAATACTTGACTGAGAAGGGCATCTATTGCAGAGTGGCGACCAAAAGGCATCAACTAAAAAGAATAAATGCCAACCAATAGATTATGGGTATAAGGCTCCAAAATCTATTGGCTGTAAGTCTAGACAAGCTACTAGATTTTTATGAACACTTATTTCCTCAAAATTAAAAGCTGAGGTAATAAACATAGAATCACAGAACCGTCTATGCTCTGACAAAAAATTACTTCAAATCCCTGTGTGGACATATAGGCTCTTTAAGTCTGTGTTCCCTATCTGCTAAATAGCAAGCTTTGACTAGATTCATGGATATCTACTCCATTCAGTTAAGGGTCTATAATTGTAGAACAGCTGCAGTGAAAAAATCGATGAAAAAAAATGCTTTGAAAAAAAAGTTAAAAGTGTTATACATATGTTTGATATAGGTGGAAAAAGCCAATAAGGGAAAGATAACACCTGGTCAAAGATTCTAAAATTATCCATCATTCTTCTGAACTATTCATGGCTTTTAAGTATCTCCTTTCTTTGGAGCTGCCTATCATTTGCGTAGCATATCAAAAGCATTCTTATAGAACACACTGTAATATTGGTCACCAACCTCAAAAAGTCACTTTCTATATTTGTAGCTAATAGATATATAGCAAAGAGCCCTATGTCATTAACAATAACTTAAGTCATCTTTCAGTCCACAGTTTCCTATGGTTTATTAATGGCATCACACATCAATTCTTCTTTCAGGAGTGACCTTTACAACACCATTAATCCTCACAGCTTTTATCCAACTCCATTATTACTCATTAAAGTTTCAGCTTTCAACATCTGCATTTGTTGAAACGAGAAAAGTAAATTGTACTGGCCTCAAATCCTTGGAAATTATGAGGGATGTGTATGTGGTAAAGGAACTTTTCAGGAAAAAAAAAGATGTTTTAGTAGTGGGGAAAGTCATGATAAATGACATTAAGTATGTTCTTGCCTTTCTAAAATAATTTGTCATACTTAATCCTTGGGAATGCTAAAGAAAAATTATTTGTACATGATAAAAATAAAAATTAGTTATTCTATTAGTCATATATTCTAGTTCTAACAACATCACAAAAGTTGCTCATGTACCAACACTATGACATTTATGAGCCTACATGTGTATTATGATAGTGTATGATTCTTGCCAAATAAAATATTTTTTCTTTTACATAGTACATGAAAGTAGATCTAATCTTAGAGCCCATTTAGGATGTTTAGCAGAGTAACTGGAGTTAGGCTATAAGGTGAAAAAGCATACATGTGTTTGAAACCTTTTTCAAACTTCTCAAACCTTCAATTTTCACTATGGCCCCACTGCCTAGACTGAATTCCTCTTAACAAATAGTCTGGAGTTCTACTTTGTGGCGATTAAAGCATTTGATACACACTCCTTCAGCCTTCATTCTTATCATTCCAAAATTTCTCTGAAATGTTCCCATTTTTCTCTTTCTTTCCTTCAGTCTCAGGAAGAAGAAAAGTTTTTCTCCTTTACAAGGGTTAATTCCCTCCCATCATCTCCTTGCTATCTTGTCACTCTTATACTTTTTTATATCGAGACATGTCTCTAACTCTTCTTCCTCTTCCCCCTTGAAAAGTAATACACATATTCCTATTTTAAAACCTGTCTCTACTTAGCCTTCTCAAACTATTATCACTTCATAACACCAAACTTAGAAAAAGATGAGTTTATATCACCAAATTAACTTTCTTTCCTCTTACTCTTCTACTCTGTGTAACTGGAAATCTATTCAAACCATTCTATTAAAACTTCTCTGTCAGTCTACCTGTCCAATTAAAATCCTAAGGCTCTTATTCTTCATGTACTTTACATTTCCTGCAGAAGGTGTACCATTAAATAATCCCTCTTTTTTGAAACTGAATTTTCCTAGGCTAGCATGACATTACCCTATCTTGACTCTTATTCTAAAACACCCACTTGCTCTTCATTCTAAGATGCTCAACTTACTCTTCATCAGTTTTGCATCTAAAACAATTATAGCTGTTCTACAATATGTCCAGTGATACTTTAATACTCTGTACTTCAGTTGGAGCCTAATTCTGCTTCCGTTGAGTAGGGCTGGACTTAATGACTCTCTTATAAGAAACAGAATAAAGCAGAGCTGCCTCTGAGTGACTTTGGAGAACAGCTTATACAAGACGCTGTGCCTTTCCCTTGGCTCTGTCCTTGGATCACTCACTCAGGAAGGTTCACTGTCATGCTACGAGCAGCCCAAGGGACAGGCCTATGTGGCCAAGAACTGAGACCTCCAGAAAACAGATAATAATAAATGTTAAATAATAAATAACAATAAAAGAGACAACAAATATTGGTTGTTTTAAGCTGTAAGTCAGGTTAATTTGTTACACAGCAATGAATAATACAAGACCAATGTTCTGATATTAATACTGTACATAGGTATCATAAATATTAGTTATCTCTCTACTAGTATCTAATACAATACCTATGACTCTTCACTCCACTAATTACCACACACAGCCTTTTTTGGTCGACTTATTTGCTCTCCTGACTTCAACCACCTCATTAAGGAATAGTTTCCATATCTAAAATTCTAGCACCTCTTTGCTTATGAGGCTTATATTTCTAGCTTCTTCCTGAACATCTCTACCTAAATAGTTCTTTGTGCTTCAAAGCAACACATATTAAATTTTTATGTCTTCCCACAAACTTGCTCCCATTCTGGGCTCCCCTTTCATAGTTGATAGAGGGACAATCCTTGTTATTTCATAAATTCAAAATTCTAGTTTCCTCTGTCTACAATTTGACCTTTACCAGATACATTTTATTGTGAATGAATTATGTCAATTCTTCCTTAATTAATATCTTTTTACTCTATTCTCTCCTTTATCATTGCTTATTTCTATCTCATGTAACTTATTCTTGCCCTACACCTAAACAATGGTTTCCTAAATTCCAGTATCATTCTGCCATCCAATCCTTTCAGTTTCAGCTGAGATCACTTTTGGCTACACATTTTTTATATAATCTAGACAAATCAGTACATTTATAAAAAAATATGCTATTTAACTTTGTGATTTTTCTTACTGTCTAGAATGCCTAGAATCTATCTCTTCTTCAAGGCTCGGTTTGAATTAGGATATATCTAACTCATATTCTTCTGTGGTCCTTCCCAGACAGAATCCAACACGCTCCAATCTTTGTAGAATTGTATCTGTGCTCTGCAATAGCACTTATTAGAGCTGACTTATACCATACAAGGAATGACTTGCCCTTAACTAAACTCTGAGCTCCTTGAAGGCTGACCTATGCTGGCCTTCATAAAAATTGAATAAAAATAATAAAATATCAATAAATCTGGGTTGAAATCAGTATCCACAGTCTGATTTATGCATGCTAAAATTAAAATCATTGAATTTTTCAAAGTCAGCTTATAGAAGTGTTTTCTACTATTTTGTTTACTGAACTTACAATTATGTATAATTGAAACTATCCACTCTTTGTATTTTGGTGTTTGCAAATAATCCTTAAGCAGAATGGAATTGAACAAACCTAATATTCTTGTGGTTGATCGATGATAGAGGCAAAATGCATTTCATCATAATGTATACTTTGTACAATTCACAAAAAAAATGGAAATTTCAGTGATGGAAAAGGTAAATCCCCTAACAATAACATTCTGGAACCATCACTGCTCACTGCAATGTAATTTAGTCCTCTTTTTATAACCGTATGGACATAGTTAGAAATAGAGATATAACCTACACAATTAGATTTTCAGGAGGGCATTATAACTGAGGCTTTAGTGAGAAATATCATTTGCATGTTTAAAACAGACCTATATGGTTCTTCAGATTGGAACTCTCCTACAGAACTCAAGCGATGTAGAGAGTGTATGAGATGTGCCATTTAAAGATGATTCCATTCAATAGCCATAAACAGAAAATCAGCAAGAACAAAAGAAACAGAACTTACCTATTGTGCTAACTCTGGCTGAAGGACTAGCTAACGCTGCTGGGACAGAGGCTTTGAGGGGGCCTGCCCCACTGTTTATTCTCAGAGCTGGCATATGGGGAGAGGTGGGTGATGTGGGTGATTTGCCATCAGAGGTCTTGGGTTTAGCTGATAGGTTCAGTGGCTGTGCCACTTCATCCTGCAATGATCATTAGAACATGAGCTGTGATAAGGAAAGGCTGATCAAAAATGCCCAGAAAAACACAGGTATGCAGCCTGTCATTTCCCATCAAATTACTCTACCAATCAGTGATCTTAACATTCATTCTGAATATTACAGTATTTGGTTAGCTGTCAACATAATGTCTCTTTCAAATACACATTCAAAATACCTTTTGTATAAGAGAAAGTACATGTGTACTCAACTACCCACAGAAAGCAGACCATTTATGTAACTGGTAAGAAATATTCTTAAAAAGCTACTCTTTGTACTACATTCATTTGTATTGAGAGACATTACACGTTAAATTTGAAATTATGATCTAGGTAGGGTTTTTTTTTTTAATCTCCAAAGAAAAGGGGTAGGATCTGATGCATCTTTGTACTCTGGTGCCTAGGCAGAGCACCTGGAACACTCATGATGGGGACCACAGATAGTTGTGTGCCTCTCATCAGAACTGCTCTCCAAATTCAACACATACACACAAAAATTTCTTTCTTAGAAAATAATCCTTTCTCCCTAGGCTTCACAGAAACACCTTTGAATTTGATCTAAAAGTGAAAATAAACATAATTAACATTACCCTAACATGTACAACTTAGTTATGAGTCATACCACTCTAAATACTTAACAAACACCATGTTTTAAAAATTCAGATTTGTTTTCCAGATTTTTCTTTTAATATACTATATGTGTCACGAAGATCATGTGATCGATTCAGCATGGTTGATGATTTCCAGCTGCTCTATGGTTTAACAGATCGAAACAGTTTATACTCAATTTTATATCTTTCTCTTAGGTAACTTCAAACAGGAGACTTGTGGATACAATATCATTAAAATTTATATTATATCAGATAAAAATATAAGAATGAGATAAAATTATTGTATCACTTTTTAAATTGAAAATTGAAAAAGTTACTTTGTTCCTTTCCTGTGCTCTAAAACTGGAATATCATGATACTTGTTTATATATTGATGTTTATAATATATTCATTTTACACTAATATTATTGTAGAATAAAAATTTAGTTTCCATTTAGCTATTTCATGAGTTAAGAACATAAAATATTTACCAATAACAGGATGATTTGTTGAAAGTAGAAAAATTTTTAATCAAATGGGCTAGTCAGGTGTACATGTTAATTGCTGTGTACAAAAACTTAATGCACGCTTTACCAAAAGAACCGTTGAAATAAATCACTTTACAAAATGGTTAAGTGGTAAAATATGACATCTATTTCAAGTGTGTGTGTGTGTGTGTGTGTGTGTGTGTGTGTGTGTGTGTATTTGAGATGGAGTCTTACTCTGTTGCCCAGGCTGGAGTGCAGTGGCATGGTCTCAGCTCACTGCAACCTCCACCTCCCGGTTCAAGTGATTCTTCTGCCTCAGCCTCTTGAGTAGCTGGGATTACAGGTGTAAACCAGCATGCCCAACTAAATTTTGTATTTTTAGTAAAGACGGGGTTTCACCATGTTGGCCAGGCTAGTCTTGAACTTCTGACCTCAAGTGATTCACCCGCCTTGGCTTCCCAAAGTGCTGGGATTACAGGCATGAGCCATGGTGCCCAGCCTCAAGTTTATATTTTTAAGTGGTTTAATATTATTAGATTATTGTTTCATTCTGTGGTTATGTGCACTTAAGAATTCCATAAACAGATTAGTTAAAAAACTACTCTTGTAATATGTAGTTTATATTGTTTGTTGCAGAAAAAAAAATTGAAAATTCATGAGATAATTCAAATTAGCAGTCTTTTATGATGTCAGATAATTAATAAAGACCATTATACCAAATCTATATTGATTCATAGGATCTTGACAGGAAGTGAAATAGTTTCATGATTGATTCAACTATAAAATTTGGAGAAGTTTACTTTAGCACTTTAAAAACTTATAGGGGCAATATTATCCCTAAATTGTTCAATGTGAAACATGACTTGTTCAACCATAATCTGTATATATGATGTCAAAATTGGCAGCAACATGGAAGTATTGTGTCCTTGCATTTTAATCTTGTATGGATGAATATTTCTCAAAATGCAGCTCACAGACTAGTGCCATAGGCACACCTGGGAACTTGTTAGAAAGGCAAATTCTCTTAACACAAAAACTATGGGGATGGGTTCCAGCAACCTATGTTTAACAAGCATTCATTCCAAGGTGATTCTGATACACACTCAAGTGTAAGAGCCACTGCCTCATATATTAACAATATAAAAGGAGACTATTGAAAAAGTTTTATTAGACTTCAAAAGCCTTTAAAAGCTTCTTCTGTATAAGATAACATTTAAAAACATGTAATATTACCTCAGTCTTTAAAATATGATTGGGACATATCATATGCTAATAATGGAAATATTCATATTCATAATAAACAAAATGTTACTGAGAGTCCATGGGACAGTGAAAATTAGAATCCAGATCTACTCTTGTTCGATTAAACCTCAATATCCTGACTGTCAAGAACGTTACTATTTACTACACAGCTGTAAATATTCAAGGCACTGTTTTCCCCTAGCAACGTAGTACGTCTTTACTATAGAAGGGTGAAACTACTGACTTTTTTCATGACAGCCTTTACAACTTCCTTTTGACATCATCATAACTCTTGCAAAAGTTTTGGGAGATGCTTGGATCAAAGGTGGGTGTTTTATTTGAATGTGAAGAAAAGGAAAGCCAAAAGAAAAGAAGAGAAGAAAGAAAGAAAGAAAGGAAAAGCAAAGAAAGAAAAGGACTGTATTCCCAGAGTTGGAATAGGGAAGATTTTTATGAACACAGAGGAAACTGTGAGTGTATAGTGAGGGTGAAATGGTGGTACTGATGAAGATGATGTGGATGTGGGTGCTGATCGGATAAACTGTCATATGTCTTAGCTTTTAGCACTCAGAACTATTACATGCACATGCTGAAAGATAACTATTCAAAGCATTTACCAGAGCAAGAGACCCACTGGAACTCTTAGTATTCACCTCCATTCAAGGCAGCACAGATGTCTGAAAGCCAAAAAGTGCAAGGCCCCAAGGACATAATAGAGGTTGACAGTTCCAAAGTTGATATAAATGTCATTCAAAATTGCCCTTTCCTTCTCTTCCATTGTGTGACCAGGCTAATGGTTTAATAAGAACTCACATGCTTGATCTTTATACTGGTAACTGTATAAATAATTTTGATCCATTATATGATATTATTTCACAATTTTGTTCTTTTAATAATTTACCACTGAGTTACTATACCAAATGCCTATTATTTATGAATAATACAATAATTACACTAGTTTCTCATTTTCTGTTAATTATTTTTCATTTGACTAGATGAAAATTTTAAAATCTTAACTATAAAGTGGACATGGACAATTTATTTTTGGCATGCACTCTTATAATATGAATATGTGCAATATATGCTGAAGGTAAGACTTTTCCTACTTTGTTTTTTACTTGTAATCTTATGTAGGAGAAATTTGAAAGCTTAACATGATTAACCCCTATTCTTACAAATAAAACACGCATTTAAACATGTTAAATAAATTACTTACAAATAAAAGGATGTGAGTAATTTTCAAGGTCAAAAATAATTGAAAAAGATACTATTTCTAACAAATACACCGCCAAGCAGTGAGCAAAGCAATTTCCTGTTAATTGCTTGCCTAATTGTTAAATGAGGTTGCCAATTGGAACTTTTGAAAATAACATATTTCATAATTATTTCACGTATATACAAAGTAAGAGTTAAGAATTCAGTTATCTGCTGAGTAGCTCCAAACTTGTATATCATAAATATAAAAAAAATTACGTTTAAGTAAATGTGTTAAGTTAAACAAGTTTTAACTACTAGAAGGCTATAATTTACATATGTAGGGTTCATTATAAATATTCCAAAGAGTTTATTTAATTTTCACAACTATGATGTAATTATTAATCTTGTGGAGGAAAGTAAGGCTTAGAAAGTTCTAGTGAAACCCAGGTTTTTGGACTTAACATACAATGCTTTTAGTTTCTGTGAAAAATTTAACCTTAGATTTAAAAAGGCATTGATGGAATATAACTTTTGCAATTCAGTCCTAACTACATAATTCTGTTACACAATAATCACATGAAAGATAATATATGTGCAATAAAATGATATAATACAAACATTTGCTATTTTATACATAAAAAATTAAGGTACAAATTGACTTATCTTAGTGACTTTTTTGTGCTTCTCTGTCCTCTACACTATATATAATTGAAAATTTCCTTTGTTAATACTAAAGAGTGGTTTGGACTATTCTTTTAGAAAAATTCCAAGAGTTCATGTATACATGGTACAAGAAATAATATTTTATGTAACTAAATACAAGTTTTAGAAGCTCACTCATGATATAACTTCTCCTAATCAATTATTAGGCTAATCTTAGTTGTCTGGGACAGAATGCAAAGTAAGTAAAATCCAAATAAACACATAGATCTGGCAAGTTCCATTTACTTATAGCTACAATAACTTATCTGAAAGCTAACATTTCAATACCAGTTTGTGGTCACAGTAGTAGAAATACTGTAGAAGCTTAATCAGTTAATCCCAGCCAATGACAATCTGCCACACAGATAAAAAAAAAAAAAATTGCATAAAGAATGTGAAAGAAATATGTAGCCTTAGATGCATTGAAGGAATACCAATTGTCACCATAAACTTATTCCACAGAGATACAGAGATTATTCCACATAAAGTTAACAAACACTATAAAATAAATATATAGTTAAAATATATTTCATTTAGTTGGTTTTCAAATAACAAGTTTACTCTAGAAGAAAACATGTTACTGTAATGTAATTGTATAACAGTTATAATTTTATAACATACAAGTACCAAATGATTTGGAGTAATCAAACATAATTTAACAAAGAATAAGCATTCTTCTCAATTCTAGGGCATTATTTCTCTCTCCCTACTACTTAGCTTTTCAATTCTTTGTTAAGGAGTTTTAACAGAGAACTAGGTAATAATAG